GATGAGTCAGGGCCCCAAACCTTTGGCCACAGTTCACCTTCTTTATCTCCTTGAAGAATCTCCTACAAAGACAGTCACAACATGGGTTAGGGCTTTGGCATAGGTACTTGGTGGGCATGTTAGTCAGTCCAAACAAACCCTAAGTCTAAAAGAATTTTTTGGGAGCAGTAGTCCTTGTTTTGTGCGTGAACGGTACTAGAGACTGGTGTGGGTGTGTCTGAGAACCCCCGCATCCCTGGAGACGTCCATTCAGACACAGACCCAGGAGTAGGAGCCAGCTGCTCCTGCAGAGTACAGAGGACACGGCCCAGGAAGCAGCGTCAGATGCACATGTGTTCTGACACCTTTGTCACCTCCTCTAGACAGATAGGGGTGGTCACAGGCACCAAGTTTCAAGTGTACTCCGCATGTAAGATGAACGTTAGGCACACGCTTCTCAACTGTCCAATACTGGTAAAACGCAGAAACTATCAGAACGATGGGAGATTAGAGGCTGTCTGACAAGCAACGGATTCTCTTCCTTTTGGTGCGATGTTTAAAATCGTACGTTGTGACCCAGCCAAGTCCGCTCCTGGCTCGGGAGAGGCTTGTACACAGGCGTGCCACAAACATGTGCAAGATGTTTAGAGCAGAACTAGATGTTTAGAGGAGAAAGAAAGAACTGTAAAGAACCCCACACCAAATGTCCATTGGCAGGCAACAGATAGGGAAGACGTGCTCTCTTCCTCAAATGGAAACCTTCTCAAAATGGAAACCCAAAATGGAATTGTGAATGAAATCAACATCACAGAATGTGGCACACAAACCAATCCTAGTTTCCTAAAGCACCCAAACAAACAAAACTAAATGATATACTATCTGAGGAGACATCCATATATGGTAAAAAATAATAATAAAAATAATAAACAAACGAATTAATGAATAAATAAATAAAAGCAACAACATCATAAATACAAACTTCCAAGGAGCTATACTTCTCAGAAGGGATGGAGAAGGTCGGGATATGGGGTGAAGCATGTTTGCATATTGTAGGATGTAAGAAACATTCTAGGTCTTATTTGGGGAGTTCAGTGCACAGGCATCTACTTTTATCTCTTGCGGGACAATGAGTGTATGCATGCATGGAATATCCTGTATCTCCTACTGTAGGTAAGAACACACATTGAACTTAGAAAAAGTAACAAAGGAAAATGCCAAAGTTGAAGAACGATGTCAGCAGCCACTTGCTGTCTCAAGAGGCTACATTTTAGAGCGGTTTTAGCGTCCCAGCAAAATTGAGCAGAAGGTGCAGAGGGCACGCATGTACTCCCTGCCCTCACGCAAGTCCAGCTTCCCTACTATCAACAACTCACACCATCTTACAATGGACGAACCCAAACGGACCCATCTTGATCCTCCGAGTCCATGGTTTACCTTGGGTTCACTCTTGCTGTTGCCTGTTCTATGGGTTTTCACCAATGTGTGATTGATCCACCGGGAGAGTATCGCACAGAGTAGTTTCACTGCTGGGAAAGGCCTCTGTGCGCCACCTCGTCATCTCTCCCTCCCCACTGATCTTTTTATTGTCTCTGTAGTTTTGTGGTTTTCAGAATGCTACACGGTTGGAATCATACAGTGGGTATTCTTTCCACATTGGTTTCTCTCACTTGGTTATATGCATGTAAGTTCCCTCCCTGTCCTTTCATGTTAGCTGTGAAGTGAGGAGCCTTCTGAAAGCTGAGGGCTGAGTGGGAGGACTCCAGGTCGCTAGCTCCTGGTGACACATCTGAACCCTGGGGATGAACACCTCCTACAACTGTCCGTGGAGACAAACAGGTGACCGTGCAAGGAATGAGAATGGGATTGGCATGGGGCCTTTTACTGGCAACACTGCATGCTTGACGGAGCTATTTCACAGAGTTCTAAGAAAAAAAATGATGCTGTGTCCAGAATGCTAGACTCACTCACACTTTTTATGGAACGGGATCACAAAATAAAGGCACTCATTGGAAATGCAAAGACTCAGAAAGCTTACCACCCCGAGAAGTTTTCCTTTGCAATTTGTTTGAGAATGGACTCCGTGTAAATGGACAGGGAATTCAAGGGGCACCAGCATCACCCGGGGCCATGGACGGGTGTGAGTGAGAGAGGCCTGTGCTCCGGCCTGGGAGGACAACAAGTCCCAGTGAGGACAGGATTTCGAAGTGTTGCATAGGACTCCTTCAGGGAGAAAAACATTTTCTGAGTTCATGGCATGGTTCTTGAGCAGAGTCATCTCAGGGAGGAGGAAATGGTATCCTGACTCATTCTGATAAAATGACACTATGCCACTTTCTCTTCCCCTTCCTATTTTTCTCCCAGATTTCTTTTCATTATCTTTTCCCTTAACAGACGCAGATTTGGTGAGATAGGTAGCTTTGTGTCTCCCTCTGTGTGAGTCCAGCCACTTCATTGGAGTCTTGCTGAAGATCAAGATCATGATCAGAATTACTACTGGTATAAGCAGAAATCAAAAGCATAATCACGGTATAAATGTTAGAAACCTTGCTGGCTTTCTAATGGTCCTTTGCAAAAAGCAAAGAAGATGAATGTAGAGTTCGACAACAGGATAAGAAGCGGCAGGTGTGACCAACATGTTGACGAGGACAGAGCAGAAACAATGCTGTAAGGACACAGGGATGGTGGCTTAATACTTGCCAAGAGTGGCAAGGCAGGAATCCTGGCAGGTGGTACAGAAAAGAGAATGTGTAACTACCTAACAGTGTAACGGAAAACCAAGGAAACCCTAAAGCCGGATACAACTGGCAGAGATCTGGAGTGTGGAATCTCCCAAGCAGCTAGGTTCTTGGTCCTTCATTATGACCTGAATTCTATTTAAGACAGACACACCGCCACAAAGAGTCAAAAGTGGCTACCCGTGAGGAACAGGGCTCGGATAGGGCTGACAGGATTTTACAGTGAATTTTCTAGTCTGTCTTGTCACGGGTCAACACGGATCCTTTCGTTATTCAGAGTTTCAAATTGAACTCTATTTGGTTCAACGTGCATGAGAGCCGCACTGTAGGCAAGGAACTGACCGTGGACTGCGGAGCTCCACACACACACACACACACACACACACGTTCGAGAGACTCCACTGTGTACACACGCCTGCACCTTTGGAGACTGGTGTCAGCTCCAGAGCCCACGATCCCCACCGCAGTCCGGGGCAGTGTACAGACACCAGGCTCCTGTGGGGTCTCCCAGGGGCTCTTAGAGACCCCCCACCTCCTCTTCCTCAGGGGAGGGCGCACATGCTACCGTCATTTGCTCTCCCTCTCCCTCCTGGGCCTTGCTCTGTTTCGATCCCTTCTGACTTTCCTGTGTTTCCTCCTTCAACCCGGAGCCTCCAGCTGGAGAACTGCGTGCCCTGTGGCTGGAGGAGCGTCCTGCGCGTGCAGGCAGAGGGTGGTCCGGGAGTGGAAAGAACCTAGAACCGGGACGAGTCCAGAGCCCAAGGCGGGAAGGCGAGGGACTGGTAGTGCGCACCTCCTCCCTGCCCGGCCCACGCAGGCGCAGGCCTGTGGCCGACGGACGGGGTGAACTCACAACTTCCAGATACGCGGCCCAGCTGCACAAAGACGGGGGGAGAGGAGCCGGCCTGCGCATCCTCGGGGAAACGGGCTTGGGCGCCCCCGGGGCTAGAGGAATAACAGGCACCATCGCCGCCCGTGCCCTCAACCGTCACCCTCTTCCTACCGCTTCACCTCTGGCCCCAAAGGGCCAGCGGGGCCGCAGCCGGCGAACGGGGCGGGAGCAGGAGGCGGGGCGGAAGTGCGAGGCGGGAAGGGCGGGACAGAAAGTGCAGCGAATGGGCAAGCGGAACGGGACGGGGCTGTGGGCGGGGCCGGAAGCGGGAGGAGTGCGGAGGGATGGGGGCGGGGTCTGAGGATGGGCGGAAGGAAGGGAGAGGGGCAGCAAGGGGGTCATAAAGGCGGACCGGAGTGGGGCGGGGCCGGGTGGACCGAAGGCCGCAGGATGGGGCGTGGCTAGGGGAGGAACACGGTCTGAGGGAACCAAGAGGGCGGTGGGGCGGGGCGGAGCCGGTAGCCGACCTACAGGCAGAAGGGAGCGAGGGCGGGGCAGGGGCTGGAGCGCTGTCTGAGGGTGACCAGAAGAGCGAATGGGGGCGGGGCCGGGTACCGAAGGGCTGGTGGCCTGAAAGCGGGCAGTGATTCGTCGCAAGTCCGTCTCTCACGATCCCGCCACCCCCCACCCCTTGGCTGCCCACCACCCCGCTCACCGCACCGTGCGAGGGGGCTCGCGCGAAGGCGCGGTTTCTCCCGCCTCAGCTCCTGGAAGGTGAATGCCCGCGCCTGGCTCCGTGGCTCCCGGTCCGCCTGCGTCCCCAGACTCTTTGCGGCTCCTCCTCCCCCGGCTCCTCCCCGTATCCGTGCGACCCCGTAAGTCCCCCACCGTCCGCTCTCCTGACCCCCAGTCCGACCCTCTGTCCCCTTCCGCTTCATCCCTCTGAGTCCCACTCTATCGCCTTTCGTCCCCCAGGCTTTCTGAGGCTCCTTCCTGCCCCCCCGCGGTCCCTTCAGTCCGCCTCTGGCCCCCTGCAGCCTCGTGCGCGTCCTCAGACTCTGGGGCTGCAACTCTGGCTCCTCTCCGACACCCTCCTTCCCTCTGCGTGCACTTCCTTCCCTCTCCTTCCCCCTCCATCCCCTTGTATCCCCCTCCCCCACCATCCCCAGACTCTGCAGCTCCTGCTCCCCCTCTGGCTCCTCCCCATGCCCCTCCTAACCTCTGTATCCCCTTCAGTCCCACTCAGACCCCTAGCATCCCCCTGTGTACCCAGGCTCTCTGTGGCTCCTGCTCCTCCCCTGGTTCCACACTGTCCCCTTCTGTCACCTTCTGTCCCCCTCCATCCTGCTGTGGCCCCAGACTCTAGGCAACTCCTTCTCCCCCTCCCCCTCCCCCTCCCCCTCCCCTTCCTCCTCCTCCTCCTCTGGCTGCTCCNTCCCCCTCCCCCTCCCCTTCCTCCTCCTCCTCCTCTGGCTGCTCCCTGTTGGCCTCAGTCCCCCTGCATATCCAGGCCTTCTGTGGCTCCTGCTTCTCCTCTGGTTCCACCCTGTCCCCTACAGGCCCCCTCTGTCCCCTGCATCCCCAGACTCTCCGTCGCTGCTGCACCTCGCTCCTCTGACCCGTGCTGCGAGCTCCTTCACCAACGCAGCGCTTCTGGACCCGGACCTTTCTGCAGGGTGCTTCTGTCCCCCAGGGAACACACAGCCCCAGTGTCCCTCCGCAGGGCCTTCACCAACACCAGGCTTCTCCCTGTCCCCAGGGCCTCAGGCAATAGCGGCCTCCACCAACTGAAAGCCCCAGCCAGGGGACCAGCCAGCACCACCCAGAGCCTGGGCCTTGGCTCCAGGGAGCATCCCTAATCCGTGACAGTGCAACCAAGGGCTCCGATTCTGAGTGGCTCAAACCAGGCTGTTTACCTTCCAGTTGCTGAGGTCAGAAATCCAGGAGCAGGGGTAGGTGTCTGGTCCTGGGTAGGGCCTCTCCTGACGTGGTTGTCAAGGCGGCAGCCGGGATGCATCTCCTGGAACCTGGCCTGGGGCTGAAGGACTTCCTCCCAAGATGGTGCACATACATGGCCGGCAGTCATTGCAGACTGCCTAGGTTCTCCTCCGCGTGGTCTAGGATTCCTGAGGGCCTCCCCAGCAGGTTCAACTTTATATGGCTACTACAGAGAGAAGAACAGAGACACACACAGAGAGAGAGAGAGAGTGAGAGAGTGAGAGAGAGAGAGAGAGAGAGAGAGAGAGATTAAGGAGACAGAGAGCCAATGAACACAGAGGGTTTATGAGACAGAAGCTGCAGACCTGTCATCACCTCATTTCGGAATTCTTGGACATTTCATCATTGCCGCCATAGTCCATTAGTCACTCCCGGGAACGGGATTCTACAAAGCCATGAAGATAGGAGATCATGGTGGAGATCAGCTTAGAGGTTCCCACCACTGACCTTGCGGCAGGTCAACATTGTGTTTGTATTTGTCTTGGGCCCCACTCCTGCACTGAGGAGGAGGCTCTGTATCAGAGGTTCTGATCGCTCACTGATGATCTCTCTGGTCTTGGAAAGCTTTTCCAGGTTCCCTCCATATGTGCTAAGCTGTGTGGTCTCGCACCTCCCGGTGGACCTCCCCAATGCTCAGGCTACCTGGTGCTCGGTCCAACCTGCTTTTCTTCTTGACGGAGCTGGGGCAGGCTCCAGTGGGGTGGGCTTTTCTTTACCCGCCGTCCTTGGGGTTGCCCAGGATGGGCTGGTGGGCAAGCTTGGGTTCACTGGGAGGACCTACGCACCACCACCTAGAGCTATTCTTAGCTCAAAAACTCTCTAAGCACTAGTCTCAATCATCTCCCTCTTCCCTCATTCTCTGGGGATCTCAGGATGCAGGAACAAAGCTTTCCACGGGACGGACTTCTGCTTCCTGAACTTTCCAAAGGGGACATGTAACAAGCTGAGTTGGGAAAGAGAAGGAGAGGCAACTGTGTCTTGAAGGCCCCCTCTTGAATGCAGGTCTCTTGGCCCCAGACCCGTGTCATCTCATTGCATGGACAATTTGAGCAGGACACCCCCTTTTTCCTAGAAATGTTATACATACGTATGAAACTAACCAAAGACGTAAAAGATACATACCATGGAAAATGAGAAGATTTCAGAAAGAAATTGAAGAACACACAAAGCCGTGGAAAAACATTCCAAACTCACATATTGGAAGAACAAATATGGTTAAAATATCAAAAGCACCCAGCAAAGTCAACACTTTCAGTGCAATCCCTACCAAAATAGCATGAGCATTCTTCACAGAGCTAGAATAAATAATCCTGAAATATTTAAATCATTTCTTGTAGTTGTGCCCCATCTTCCCATAGGCTTTCTTTACTCTTTTTTCAATATTAACTTTTTTCCCCCTCTTTCCTCATCTAATGGGTATTTTTCAATCCTATATTCCATATCCTATCCTCCACGTTGCTTATTTTTAACTGCATTATTTAGCCTACTTTTCAAATCATCTGTTGTATCTTACGGGTGATACAGGATGATACCTGTATAAAGATACGCTATATAAAACAGACTGACAAATGTGATACTTTTGAGAATATTATTGAAAAGCTTCTTTTTGTGAAAACAAATATGTAAAGGAAGGTTAAAAATCTCCAAAGATGTGTAGCAGATATTTGCTCATTATAGACAACGAAGGATCAATAGAATGATGGTATTAAAAGAAAAAGAAAAGAAATTAAACAGAAGTCTGTAAGAGAAAGTAAAACACTCCAGGATAGAGGAAAGCAAAAGACATTAAGAAAATTTTCTCAGAAAACGAAAGCTATATGGGAAAAATAGGGAAAGTTCCACAGATTAACTCTAAGGCGGCACAGGCACATCTGTGTACTATGAGATGACATCCTACATTAATTGAGGTATAAATTAAAAAGGTGGACAATATCAGGTGTTGGTGATGAGATAGACTCATAGAATCTCTGAACCGTGGCTACCAGGAATGGATGTAAATACAATCACTCTGAACAAAGAATGTGGTTGAATCTTATCAAATTGCACATTCATGCACCTCAGGATGTACATTTCCACTCCTAATAGACAGCTTAGAGTCAGTCCCCAAACGTGTACAGGAAACATGGGGACATGTGCTCCTAGCAGCAGACTTCAGAACGGTGCAAAAAGAGAGGAGAACCATGGACAGCACATGGATAAATACGTTGAGGTGCACAGTGTTGAAAGGAAGGAACCACAGCTGTTTAGACAGGAAGGGACAGCACACAATCATATAAGTAATCATTGACCACACTTCATGATGTTCTTACCCAGGGGCTGTGGAGAGACCTGAAGTGAATGGGAGCATACAAGGAGGTACTAGTTCCTGGAAATGTTCTACTTCCGGGGCTGATGGCACAGTGTGCATTTGGTCATTCTGTTACAGAAGGAAGTAAAGATTTAGAAAAGAAACAGTTCCGTTTTCTTTAGACGGTCGCTGCATGTATTCTTTTGTGTCTTCGGGCACCATTCTCTCCCTTTTGCCATATTTTGGGGACATCAGGGACATATTCTGTATGTGACCTATAGGGACAATCCATGCTATGATGGGAGAAAAAATGAGAACTCATGAAGACAGGAGGGGGGCGGGGACAAGGGAGACTGAAATGCCAGGTGGAAACCCCTACAGGGGACAGAAACAGCCTCACCCACGAACCTGACAAGCAGCTGTGGATGCAGAAGAGCACACACAGACAGCCAGTTACAGCCCTCAACAGTAAGGGAACAAATACCCCTGGGGCTCCTGGGTGGCTCAGTCTGTTGTGTGATTGACTTTGGCTCAGGTCATGATCTGACCGTTTGTGTGTCCAAATCCACATGCCTGGCTCTGTGCTGACAGCTGGGTTCCTGGAGCTTGCTTCAGATCCTCTGGCTCCGTCTCTTTGTCCCTCCACTGATTGTGCATGCACACTCTCTCTCTCTCCCTCTCTCTCAAAAACCAAACGTGAAATAAAAAACACCCCTGAGACTCAGGTACCCTAGCACTGATGGGGCTCACTGTGGTGGGTGACAGAAAGCCCTACCGGGGGCTTCCCAGGGCCGGGCTGCTCCCCTGCAGTATGTGAGAATCACTTTGTAACGGGTGCCCTGTTTGGTTGCCTCTGGTCTGCCTTGACTGCAGTGGCTGGTGGCCTGGGCCTGATAGCCCAGTATGCAGTCCTCAGGGTCTAGAGTCAGAGCTGTTGCTCCTATGTTGGTGCTGGGAAGTGAGGAAGTATGATGTCTGAGGATATTATTACATTTCCTCTGTTCAGAGGACAGGTAAATCAATTTGCTTGAGGAAGGAATGGCTTCAGAAATATCATGTACCCTGGTCCCACTTCAGTGAACAGAGGTCCAGTTTGCATACCATGCAATCACAGACCCTTGCAGAATTAAATTTCCCCTGCCCTAGGCAGACCCTCCTCCAACTGAGTGAGATGTCTGCAGTAGGTACACAAAAAGAGTAGGTTTCTCTTCTCTTCTCCTTCTTCCTCCCGCTGCCCCCAGTGCAGGGAGCAGCATGGTGTAGGGGAGCTACAAGGGTCGGGAAGGACTCACTTAGGTAGGACATTTGCACTGCAGCTGATGTCCGGGTGCAGTGACCATCCCGCTGGTACGAGGGGCGAGGGAAGGCCTTCACTGATGTCCCCGTTGGGATGTCAGGGCAGGCACAGTCCAGACTTTCAGGCCTCCCACCTTCTCCATTTTGTCAGGCACAGGAGGGCAGCCCCACCTCTTTCTCTTCAGGTCATCCTATGCAGGAAGCTCAGGTCCAGCCCACACTGTTGGCTATAACCTTTGCAACAGGCTCATTCAAATCATCCTTTTGTTCCCTCTCCTCAACCTGTTAGCTGTCCTAATCTGGCTTCGGGGAGGAATCAAGGCCGACAATGCCAAAATCACAATCTCTTAGCTACATATAGATTTCTTACCTTGTTATGGACATTGGCAATCTTCACCAAAACCTTCTCCTATACGCTCTCTCCGTCATCTTGTTGCAATCAAACAACAGGATGGGGCCCCTTCCTTGACTACAGATAGCCTCGGGAGCTTTTCCTTCTGCTGCCGCATGAGACTGAGGACATGCCAATCATCGAGAGGTAAAGCAGCTGCCCAGAATAACCTGGTCATTAGGGAGCGGTGCTGGGACCCTGGTGGGAGCATGTGCCCTGACACCAGGTGGCTTCACAGATGGCGTCAGGAAGAGAACTGCATCATGCATATCACACCTGCACTCCGATCTCAGTGGGTGGATACCAGGGATCTCCTGAGCTGGCCATGTTGGGCAACCCCAGTTTGTAAATTTGCAGGCAGTATCTGCACCCATAGGAAGGGTCCGCCTCATGAGGGTTTAATGTGGGCTTCTTGCTGGTATGAGTGCTGACACTGGAGAAAACATCTAGGGTTAGGAAGCAGGGCAAGTCTCTGAGCACTGTGACCCTCCCCTGGGTCTCTGTGCTGCACGTACCCAAAGAAACCTGCATAGGCCTCAAGGTGTTGCAGCACCCTCAGCCTCAGGAGAGAAGACAGTGAAACTGGAATGCCTCCTTTACGAAAACCCAAGTTACTTCCAGGATTAGAAACCGACTCTGGCCCTCAACCCCTTTCAGAAAGGGGACACCAGGATTTAGGGAGACCTGAGTTCCCTCCCGCTGGGCCTAGGGCCTTTCCAAACCTTTATCCAGTAATCAAGCAAGACTGAGCAGGGGAGGAACTAGAGAAGAGAACCCTGCAAGCTCACTCTGTCCTTCCCAATTCCACTTTCTCCCATCTCTCTAGCCGTTTCCTAGTACAACCTCAACCCCATGCAGCTCCATGCCTTCCTTGGAGAGCAACCTGGGCCTGGAGCTACTTTGGGACTATCCCAGAGGGAGCTATCTCTGACTGGAGGCGGGACCCTTCTTCAGGGAGGCGTGCCTTGCCAGGAGGACTTCTGATTGTTCCTGATCAGGGTCACCCTCTGATTTCTGGAGCGGGGAACCCAACTTGGCTAATAACCCTGCTGGTGTGAGGATGTACAAGGGGGAACCTGACTCCAGGACAGGACAGCTTGGGGAATGCCTTATCCACTGCAGTGAGCGTTCGCAGCAGGGCCCCTCTCTGACATTCCTCTGGGACCCAACTCAGCACTCAAACCCTGTGGTGGCTCCAAATGCACTCAGGCCTGCAGTGTGGAGGAACAGGGAGAACCTCCATGTTCTTGGCATTGGTGTGGCCCAGGTTTGGAGAAGGATGGCAGGTTTTGCCATTCCTCTTCTGTCAGTGTGTAAACAGGATGTCAGACAATGGCAACTCCTGGGGTAGCTGGGAATTGGGAGAGTCCTTCAGGAACACTGGCTGAACCTTCTGGAGAATAGTGATTACAGGTGGGATTGAGGGAAAGGGGGTCTAACTGACCTTAAGTCATGGAGATCAATGCAATTTGGCACCTGTGTTCGGGAAACTCTCTCTTTTGCTGGACACCACCTTCATCCTCTAGAGATGATGTTAGGGAGGTGGGCTCTTCACACACTATCTTCCCAGAGCATGTTCTTTGCAGCTTCATGCGCATTGATCCTATGGATGCTGATGATACTTTCCTGGAATCACTCCACATGTTGACTTTTCCTCACCCTTTCCCTAGGATGATAAAATGGAAGAAACTGTGGAACATGGTGCATATCAGGTTTCTGATCGCAAAATTCTCGATGCCTCAGATTCTGTCCCGCATGGCTCAAGATCATTGGGCATGACAGGAATTATCAAGGATCCTGCCCAGGAATTCACAAATGAGTGTCCTCCCTCCCACTTTTAGGTGATGGACTCTATTTGGTGGCCTATAAAAAGCGTTCCAAACAAGTTACCCACAGGAAGAAAATACAATATCACAAGGGAGGGTAGGTACATTTTTGCAAAACCTTCTGTTACAAGTATGTGGATATGTGTGCACGTTGAGGATGTAGTTGCCAGGTGAAATGCATCCCTCACTGCTGGTCTCATTCAGAAGACTTTGAAAGATCTGCTCACAGGACCTGCTTTTCCTTCTAAGCACGACTACTCTCTCTGATTGAATCTGCTCTCTGGGCTTCCTCCATAACAGGCTATGTTCCTTTACTCACGGGCTCTTAACCCCTGTTCAGAGAGTTGAGACCAGAAGTATTACATGAGCAGAATCTGCAAACAGGGGAGAATGGAGGGTCACTTGTGTCCGAGACACGTCACTGCTCAACGTCTAGGTCAGTGCTCTGAGATTCAATGTCCTGGAGGATCAGACACACCAATCCTTGCAGGCCGACCAGCCCGGAAACACCCTGATCCTCTCATGGAGTCACGCACATCCGACTCTTCCCTGGTGGTGACACATGGACACAGAAGTGGTCATGGACACAGAAGTGGTCAAGGACCCTGAGGGGGTCCCTGTGCAGAGTTGTGTAGCCCCAGCTGCAGGGTAGGTACCAGATGAGCAGGTCACAATGGACAGGGAGTTGTCTCTGCTGCAACAAGGCCTCAGTTATGTCCCCTAGTAAGGTCCAGTCTAGTTCCTATGGAGAGCATACATGTGCAAAGTCCACAGTTGGGTCAACATGGTCGTAGAAATAGTCTGGAAACATGCAGGTTTGTGCTCACCTTCCACACCCATGCTGGGTGGGGTCATCCCTTACATGGTTTGCAAAGGGGTGTGGACTGGCTGGTATCATTTCAGGTGTCAGATTTATGATGGCAACGTGTATCTGCAACCAGTAAGTGAAGGATATGCAATTGTATCTTGTGCTTCATTCATCTACAGAAATGTGTCCCATACCTGGCAGACACAAAGGGCACTGGGCAAAGAGTCTAGGGAATTATTTACCCTAAGTGCCAAGACCTGCATGTGTATCATTATGATGCCAAGCATCTCACATGAGACGAAACAACACACTCTGGAATCTTAAGCTTTTGACAACTCAGGGCTTCACTGACCTAACAGAGGAGAAGTCAAGGTGAGATGGGTATACATGCAGGTTGTGATGGGATTCAGACACACCAGGAATAGAGATTCAAGGGCTTTAGCCCAGGTCCTATTCTTCTGACTGGCCTTGCCCCTGGGAGCCCCGAGAAGTGCAATGAGCTTTCCCCATCCTCCTCTAGGGCAAACTTGGAGGCAAGCGGAACACAGGGCATGCTCACAACCAAGTCAGTGATCCTTGAATTCATCCAGGCGTAGACCATCTGTGAAGCTCCAACATCCAGCATCAACGTGAATTCAGCTTTTTGTTTGAAGGGAACAAGAGAGTTCCCAAAAGGCTCTGAGTACAAGGGCAATGGACAGCCACTCGTAGGTATTCTCATCCCAGAGTGTTCCCCGAGCCTGACCCAGACCATGGCTCCATCTCTCTGGCTAGTGTCCAGCCTTGCCCTTGTGTGCTCTGCACCATCACCACGTCCTCCACCCCCTCACCGAGTTTAGGGATGCATCCCAGGAAGTTTCAATGGCAACTGAGAGCAGTACGTGGACCCACATCCACAGGGAAAGTGTCTCAGCATCCAACAGCCGCTCAGTCCCTGGAGATGGAGCGGCAGCATAAAGTAGGATCATGCCCCCATCCTGTCCAGACATAAACAGGGAACCAGAGAATCATACTGTGGGTTTCAATCTGGGACTCTCCCATCAAAATAAGGAATAAACTGTTTTCTGTTTTTAAAATTAAGCAAGGAAAGATTTCCAAGGTTAAATCCTGTCACCAGGATGTCCTTGCCATGTGACCTTGGGCAAGTCAGCTCCCATTCCACTGTCTTCACCTTCCTATCATTCAAAAGGTGATAATAATGTCACATGTTCAAGTGTCCAACCAGATCCAGGTACCGTGAAGACGGAATGAGTTAAAGTACATAAAGCACTATGAGTAGGGTTAGGCATGTAATTTATTGTCTTCACGGCTAACAATGGACAACATAAAGTCACATGGTAAGACATTTCTAGGAAAAGGGGGGTGTCCTGCTCAAATTGTCCATGCAATGAGATGACACGGGTCTGGGGCCAAGAGACCTGCATTCAAGAGGGGGCCTTCAAGACACAGTTGCCTCTCCTTCTCTTTCCCAACTCAGCTTGTTACATGTCCCCTTTGGAAAGTTCAGGAAGCAGAAGTCCGTCCCGTGGAGAGCTTTGTTCCTGCATCCTGAGATCCCCAGAGAATGAGGGAAGAGGGAGATGATTGAGACTAGTGCTTAGAGAGTTTTTGAGCTAAGAATAGCTCTAGGTGGTGGTGCGTAGGTCCTCCCAGTGAACCCAAGCCTGCCCACCAGCCCATCCTGGGCAACCCCAAGGACGGCGGGTAAAGAAAAGCCCACCCCACTGGAGCCTGCCCCAGCTCCGTCAAGAAGAAAAGCAGGTTGGACCGAGCACCAGGTAGCCTGAGCATTGGGGAGGTCCACCGGGAGGTGCGAGACCACACAGCTTAGCACATATGGAGGGAACCTGGAAAAGCTTTCCAAGACCAGAGAGATCATCAGTGAGCGATCAGAACCTCTGATACAGAGCCTCCTCCTCAGTGCAGGAGTGGGGCCCAAGACAAATACAAACACAATGTTGACCTGCCGCAAGGTCAGTGGTGGGAACCTCTAAGCTGATCTCCACCATGATCTCCTATCTTCATGGCTTTGTAGAATCCCGTTCCCGGGAGTGACTAATGGACTATGGCGGCAATGATGAAATGTCCAAGAATTCCGAAATGAGGTGATGACAGGTCTGCAGCTTCTGTCTCATAAACCCTCTGTGTTCATTGGCTCTCTGTCTCCTTAATCTCTCTCTCTCTCTCTCTCTCTCTCTCTCACTCTCTCACTCTCTCTCTCTCTCTGTGTGTGTCTCTGTTCTTCTCTCTGTAGTAGCCATATAAAGTTGAACCTGCTGGGGAGGCCCTCAGGAATCCTAGACCACGCGGAGGAGAACCTAGGCAGTCTGCAATGACTGCCGGCCATGTATGTGCACCATCTTGGGAGGAAGTCCTTCAGCCCCAGGCCAGGTTCCAGGAGATGCATCCCGGCTGCCGCCTTGACAACCACGTCAGGAGAGGCCCTACCCAGGACCAGACACCTACCCCTGCTCCTGGATTTCTGACCTCAGCAACTGGAAGGTAAACAGCCTGGTTTGAGCCACTCAGAATCGGAGCCCTTGGTTGCACTGTCACGGATTAGGGATGCTCCCTGGAGCCAAGGCCCAGGCTCTGGGTGGTGCTGGCTGGTCCCCTGGCTGGGGCTTTCAGTTGGTGGAGGCCGCTATTGCCTGAGGCCCTGGGGACAGGGAGAAGCCTGGTGTTGGTGAAGGCCCTGCGGAGGGACACTGGGGCTGTGTGTTCCCTGGGGGACAGAAGCACCCTGCAGAAAGGTCCGGGTCCAGAAGCGCTGCGTTGGTGAAGGAGCTCGCAGCACGGGTCAGAGGAGCGAGGTGCAGCAGCGACGGAGAGTCTGGGGATGCAGGGGACAGAGGGGGCCTGTAGGGGACAGGGTGGAACCAGAGGAGAAGCAGGAGCCACAGAAGGCCTGGATATGCAGGGGGACTGAGGCCAACAGGGAGCAGCCAGAGGAGGAGGAGGAGGAAGGGGAGGGGGAGGGGGAGGGGGAGGGGGA